TCCTAGTGCTCAGCCTGCTGGTTCACACCAGCAGGTACCATTTTGAGGGTCCCAATAATAATAAGGATTATAGGATATTGGGGTCTATATTGGGGTCCCTCTATCTTGGGAAGCTACCATATAATCCCTACATGAGCCATAATCTAAACTCCGAGTATCCGCGTCAATAAGCCCTATAGTAGTCCCCTATATAATCCTACGGCTCATATAGCCCCTCTATAATACGTTCCCTTGTTCCCTTCTAAGCCCGAACCCCAAACCCTGAACCCCAAACTACCTGCCTACCTACCTACATACATACATACATACAGACAGACAGACATACAGGCAGACAGCACATACAGACATACATACATATATGTGTATATACACATATGTACATATGTACATAAAATATATAATATAGATATTATATGATATATACATATTTCCCTTATTCCCGCGGAAAAAAAAAAAGGACCCGACCTTGGTGCTTTGGATGTCCAACACGTCGGTCTCATCCGCGATCACCTGGGGTAACGTAAGTTATTGTGTTAGTGTCTAAGTTTAGGGCTTACGGGATTAGGAGGTCATGGTTGAGGGTCTAGGGTTTAGGGTTCAGGGTTCAGGGTTAAGGGTTTAGGGTTCAGGGTTTAGGGTTTAGGGCAGATCACTCCGTTTAGATCGCGCGAACCCTCAACCCAAGAAAACTGTCAGCCCAATTGCACCTGAGGGGACGGGGTTCGATCTAGACCCTAAACCCTAAACCTTGGATACTGCCACCCCTCACTAACAGTTGGATAATAACTATAATATGGATATATATAGCCCTTAATAGGAGCCCTAATATAGACTGTTACTGGGTGCGGGCAGTACCCAACCTAAACCCTTCTGCAAAGTCCTTACTCCACATGCCATCCTTGCAAGGTTTTACCAAGCTTTAGGCTCAGGGATCCTCAGCCCAGTAAGCCCGCTAAAACCTCCAAACCCTATAAGCCCCCTTTTGTAGATAGAACATGGCTTTGGATATATTATAGTAAGATCTCCATATACCTCATACTCTATCTACTAAAGGCGGACTAGAAATCCCAAAAAAACAAGTAAACAGAAAAGCAACCTCAAACCCCAAACTCCAAACCCTAAACCCTACACCCCTAAACCCTATTTAACCCCTAAACCCTCAACCGCTAAAACCCTAAATCCCTAAACCCCCAGTCGAAAGGTTGGCCCCATGCCAAATATCATCCCAGTGGCACGAGCATGGGGAGAGCTGGGCTCAACACCTAGCCGAGTTCCATTGGAATTTAGGGTTTCGGGCTTAGGGTTTAGGGTGTAAGGTTATTTAGGGTTTAGGGTCATTTAGGATTTAGGGTTATTTAGGGTTGAGGGTTTAGGGTTTGGGGTTTAGGGTTCCGTTGGGTTTTGTTGAGCGTTCAGGGCTGGGAGTTTGGGGTTTAGGGTTCGGAGTTTGGGACTTTGGATTTCGGGTTTAGCGTTTTGCGGCTCTGGCTTTAGGGTGTAGAGTTTTGGGTTTAGGGTTAGGGTTTGGGGTTCAGAGTTTTGGCTTTCGGTCTAGGGTGGTTGAAGGTTCAGAATGTATGGAGAGGACTTCTCAAAACCGGAGGCCCGTTAGGACTCCGGACGACAAAGGCCACACTCTCAGCATAAAGATGGGTGTTGACCTCATATGATAACACCGCACTAGTTGCCATCCTCATTGTCAGCACGTTGTGGACATATAGCTTGGCTAATTCCTTAGGCGCGAGGCCATCCTTTCCTAGCTTTGCATTGGCTACAGTCAAGAATTCCTTCCATAGTTCATGGACATGAGTTCTGATTAGGAAAGGTATTAGGGACTATACTAAATCACTAAGGGAACCCTGTCCTGTGTCCACCCTCACCGGCCCCTTGAAAACTCTAATATTGAAGCTGTGACATGATCCCTACAATACCCCATCTAATCCTAGTTTCCATTTAATTTTCTACTTTCTCTTCCATCTGATTCTCCATGATGGGGGTATAGTAACCCTAAACCCTAACCCTTTACCCTATAAAGAGGCGCGCCCTAGGACTCCCCCTAATGAAGGATGCTAGCATGATTTGGAAGCCGGAAGTCTGGCATGTACGAAACCCTCAGGGCTGATAGGGTTTATGGTGCCCTAAGGGGCCAAGGACCCAAATAATGGGGTGTTAGGGCCCAAAATCAATAAAATTGTACCATTTATTATTTGGGTCCTTGGACCCTTAGGGGTTTAGGAACTGAAATCAATGAAAGTTTAGGGGTTCGAGGGGTTAGGGCTTAGCGTTCAAGCTTAAATGTTTAGAGTTTAACCTAAAACGCGATTATGCTTTCCAAGCCCTAAATCCTAGACCTTAATGCCTCAAGCCTACACTTTGCCCCACGGTAATATACGGGTCCTATTATATTCCTATTTTACCACTATAAAAGGTTTGGGGGCATCCTCCTAACACAAACTTCTTGCTGGTTAGCGGAAATGGAGGAATGGATGCCTGCCGTAGTCCCCATATGGCCCCCAACCAAAATAATTGCTTCCTCTTTCTTTTGCCCCCATGAACAACCATCAAGTTCACCCGAAACACAATACATCCTTACGCAACCCCAGTTTCCAGCTCAGCGTCCTACATCTCTTCCATGTCATGCTCCATCCAACCCAACCCCCAACCCCGCCCCATTCCTCCTTCACCACCAATAGTTTCCCAAAACCCTGAACCCTGGACCCTGAACCCTATACCCTGAACTTCTTAAGACGAAGACCCTGCAACTGAAGATCGCCACCTCGTGGCGAACGCATCGGCATCCCGCTGAGGCATAGCCAACAAATTGAAATAAGGTTAAGGGTCGATAGGGTCTCTTTTTGTCGGACCTTGGTCTATAGAGTCTAGGGTGTAGGCTTTAGGTTCTAGGGTCTAGGGTGTAGGGTCTGGGTTTTAGTGTTTAGGGTGTAGAGTTTAGGCTTTAGGTTGCACGAGTAAATGTTGAGACCCTTGGGGTTAGGGGGATTCTAACAATATGAACTCTTTTTGTAAGAACCTCATGTTGAGAAATGGCCATATGGCTGTTGTTAAATATATGGGGACCATGATTCTGGCATACAAAGAGCTGAGCGTTCAGCGTTGAGAGATGTGGCGCATGGGGTTGGGGGTATCATGTGGGCTGCTCTCAAAATTAAGGGGGCCCCTGTTGGCTATATAATACTTGGGGGTACTAAACCGGGACCCTCATTTTGGGAACTACCCATGTATAGACATATGCATGGAATGCTGCGAGTCGTCTTTGACTCCTCGAATTGTTTCCTGCGATGTACCGTAGAACTCAGTTGAGGAGTAGGGGATATGGGGAACTATGATCAGATTATCCAGGTCCTCATCACGGACAGCACAATCATGGGATCCCTAGCCTGAGAAAGAAAGTGCTTGAGATCGCTACCCTAAATGAGCCATAGTCTGAACTCCTAGTATCCCCCTTAATAACCCCTATAGTAGTTCCCTATATTATCCCCTATATAAACCCCCTTTAAGGAGTTTAGACTATGGCTCAAATGGCGGAGCACCTAACAGGCTCAGCCCTCAGTGGCTCCATGAAACACTCGTAGCACAGCTCCACAAAGGCTTAGTCTGAACGCCAGCGGTTTGGCGTTGGTAGGGTTTAGGGCTTGGGCCTCACGACATACGAGTAAAGGTTCTACCCCACATGCAGGGGGAGTGGTCGAAACTATTCTGTTTCGGCTCCCCTACACAATATCTGCCCCCTGCAATTTGCCAAAAAAGGGCTACGGCTTCATAGCCCTCCACAAGAAACCCCAAACCCCCCGGAAATTCCCAGACAAGCCAACTTGCCACAGTTTGGGACCCTTGTGGGCGAGATTTCGGTGACAAGTAAAGCGATGATATTCGATGTATGTTCCCAAGCCCCAGAACCCTCATTATACCCCCTGATCCGTTCCCCTTATAATGAAACCCACCGCAACCCCCTGATCATGAATCTTCCAAACATAATGCCGTGGTAAACGCTTCAAAACCTCCTGATTTTCGGGAGCTCTGAAATCGCAGACAGAGGCAGCGGCGAACAACAACGTCGTTTTCTGTTAGACGCATGTTGTTGCTTAAAAGTCCTCTGTCTCGCTCCTGACACTTTCGCTGAAGGTTTCTGAAATTTTGTTTTGAACCTCTTTGAAGCGAAGGCTATATTGATAGCGGGGGATATTGAATGGATCCCAATCTGAGAAACTCCAACGAGTTAAATTCGTGAAGGATGCACCAATGCAGACCTGGAACAAATGGGCTACCTCCCGTCATATCATGGAGCTCCATGAGCTATGCTTGCAAGCCAGCTTAGTAGCTTGCAGCATCAGGAACACCTACTGTCATGTCAGCGTCAGCATGCACAGCATAGCCCTGCTTCTTGTCACGACCGGTCTCATCTAACTCTCCGAAAGGTTGGATCGCCTTCTCCTTTCGCTTTTTCAGCATCCGAAACTGCTTGTCCATCTTGAAAGAGCTCAAAATGTTTTCCAACTCCTGGTTGGGTAGGTATATAGGGAGTTCGGGTTTAGGGTGTATTACGAAACACTGAGGCATACTGAGGCTTTTTCTTCTATGAAAGACTATCGGCATCAACTGCGCATAACTTGGGTTTTACCTAGCTGGCTCCTGGGTGCTGAAAAGGCAGTCCAGCTGACACGGCGGAACAACTGCCTGGTCCACCTCAGCAAGACATGCACATCAGCGCATGTGGAATATTGGGGGGTTCCAGAAAGGATCACCCTTTTTTGGAGGAGTCCCTGTAATTAATCCCAAAATGTTGAATCTTCTCTTGGGCCCTTTCCATGGAACCCACATGCAACTAAGACTGTAGCGTTAGGGACACAAGGGAAGGGTCAAGGGGGTTGACACTTCATATCTTCAGAGCTTCTGAGCTCCAATAAGAAAGGCGGCCGAATGTCCTTAACAGCAACCCAGACAACGAACCACTTGCTTACCTGGATGCTTTTGCCGCAGCCAATTGGTTTGAGGTTGCGCGGGGTGTCGACCTTCTTGGTGTTCCTGGTTTCAGGTTTCATCAAGAACTTGCCAGGACGCAATTTCCCCTCAACTCTCTCCCAGAGCAATCTGTAATAAGCTGCAGATGATGGGTCAATCTGGCTGGGGCGAGCTCCGCATGTTGTCGCCCCGTCGCAGCCTTCCACCTTCACCCAAACTTCACAACAGTGCTGGCAGCGGCGGATCGCATTGCGCCAGTCGTTGGTGTTGTCGGGGTTCACCAACAAGTACTTTTTGGCTTCGTTGCGGAAATCAGAGTGCGAACGGTGAATCAGCTTCTGCAACTCGATACTGGCCGCGTAGTCATCAAAGGCAATCTCATCCTCGCCGTTGCGATGCAGGAAGGGCTGGTATACCTTTTCCTCCAGCTCCATGCGATTCTGCTGGATGATCGCGTAAATGTAATCCTGAACTTCCTGAGGCGAGAGCTTCTGTTGAGTGGCAACCAAATGACGAAGCCCCTCCTCAAATTCTGCACACAACTTCTCGATCTGCTTCTTCAGGCGGTGCAAATCAAACTGCTCACGGCCTTTCCATGCTTTCAGGTCGAAATGCTCCAAAAATTCCTCGTCGGCGTAGCGCAGCTGCACCTTCGAAAGTTGGGCAATTGCCTTCCTCATGTCATGAAACAGCTTGCGGGCTGTCGACGTCACGTCGGAGAACACAACCTGATTCATGCCATAGTCAACATGGAAGCTCTTCCGGATGTGAGCTTCCATGCTTTCGCGTGTAGGGAACTTGGTGTCAGGATGGAACTGGTCCATCTTTGTCACTAAGACCACAATGTGGTCGTAGGCTTCTTTCTTGAGAATCTTCGCAACTTCAAAGAAATCTCCACCCATGTTGTTGCGGATGCGAGGGTTGTACTCCACAGTGACAAATATGCCATTCAGGGGCTCACATGTAAGACCGTGGCGCAGCACAAAACTATGCGCGTACGTGTCTTCTTTGCTGTTGCAACCTCTGGGCTCCCCACAAAAGGAACATAAGTAAATGCCGGTCCCTATGTATGAGGATTATAGTATACTAGGGTCTATATTGGGTTCCCGCTAATTTGGGAAACTAGCAAGTAGATTGATAATGCTACTCCGTTCAAAGTGCCTTATAACTGATCCGCAGAAGGTAAGGGTATGCCCTCCAAGAGTTTACGCCTATGTTCTTTCAAGTTCCCACACCTGGTCCATCATACAGGACCATGGACATGTCGTCGTAGAAGACCTTCTTGCTCACAAACTGCCTCGTGCAGGAGTCGTCAGTGATGTCAGCATCACGGTTGGCATCACAGACCTTCACATGAGCTATAGTCTACTCTCCTCAATAATCCCAATAAAGCTCCTCTACATAATCCCCTATATAACCCCCGTCAAGGAGTTTAGACTACAGCCCACATGTGCGCAGCAAGGTTTAAGTTTGAGGGTTTTCTGGGTGTTCCGCTCCGCAGAGATTCTCTGGGGCTGCTTGTGATCTGAATGGTCCTGGTTTAGACTCCCTGCCCCGACACCTCCATGAAAAATAACGGGAAATGCAGCAAGCATGAGCACACTGCGCCCCTTCTGACCCGTAAGCATTCCCATGTTAAAAACAGCCTACGTTGCAGCTAGAAACAAGCCTTCCGAACCCGCATTTCTGAACTAGATTCCCTCATGTAGATTCTACAATGTAGCGGTTCATTTAGGTCGAACAGGGCTTGGGGTAGCATATACCACAGTCACACAAGGAGTCTCCGGGAATAATGTTGCTGATTGTTCAAGCTTCTACTCCCTTGAGAACCCCAGGGCTTCTCCAAGCACGCAGACCTTGTTGAAGATCGTGGTCTTCCCAGCCCCCACTTTTCCGATCATGATGGCTGTCGGATCCTGCTGGACACAAACCAGACACATGGTTTGGGATGCCAGGGTTACTATTACTATTACTGTTACAATTACTATGACTATGACTAATACTATGGCTATGACAATTACTATTACTATTACAATGACTATTACTATCACTATTACTAGTACTATTGCTATCACTATGACTATTACTATTACTAGGACTATTACTATTATTATTACGGTTACTTGAGATTGAGTATGGGCATGGCATTAGAGGTGAGCGAGGATAACCTTCCAAACGACTCGTGCATCATTAATATTGACAATAATCAAGGGTTTTGGCTTCAGGGATATTATTGACCAAATTCAATTATGATGATTGCTTTGGAAGGCGGTCCTTCCAAACTTGTTTGAAGGCCTAGGAACCTACAACTTCCGGGGTTGGATGACGCAAGCCTCACGCTACATGAAGGGCTTAACTCAACTAGAGCTGCATTCCCACAACATTCACACACAGAACAACGAAATCATGTGAGTAGCCTTTCTGGTGATTGAACCAAGTAGTATTGCCCTTAACCCTAAACCCTAAGCCCAAAACCCTATACCTTACTTAAGATACTATACCAACAGGGAGGATGCAATCTTCCTCGGCTTTAGGGACTACCGTACCCCCAGATAAAATACTGCTCATGCGAAGTCACACAAACAGAAGCTCAACGAGGAACCGAGAGCTCTGAAGAATGTGCTGCAAGGACTTGAGGGCTTTGATGATTCTTTGGGTAAAGCCCTGTTTTACAAGACTCGGAGGGCAAACTGAAAATCTTTTATTGTCTTGGTAGAATTGCGAAGAAATCTACCCAAAAGCCTCCTTCAAATTCTTTGGGGCCTGACACTGTGGTTTCCAATCTTAGGGGACCCGTTCGGCATCGCGCACACTGAAATTCTGCTTGCCACATAAGCGAGGGATTCTCAAAACAGGTGGCCCTTGAGAACCAGGTGCTGTGCGGGCCGTTCTGAAGCTGGCTCTATGTAATCCCTGAAAGAGGAACTCTAATCATCCCCATATATGCCTGGCCACTCTGGAGCAATCCAGCTTTCACAATCTCGGCTCTAAACCTGATCCCTATACCTACACTCTAAACCTGATCCCCAACCCTACGTAAATAATAACCAGAAGGAACCAACTACACTGTAAGAGGCAATCTGGTCCTCCACTCTGGGTGACATGCCGGGCCGACGGCGCACTAAAACTACAACGTCACGGCTGGTGCGTCACGCTTAGATGTCAGCTTTAAGCCCACAGGCAACGCATGTAGGGGCTATGAAGCAGCTAGATGGACGGATGTTACAGGCTTTCCGTAAGGAGCAAGAATCTGCGAGTTGCCATCGAAAAGGCGCCCATAAAGACTACAGTTATCACAGCATGTTAAGGAGATCCTTATAATCCCTACTTGGGGGCCAGTGTAAGTACAAACCATGAACCTACTGCAACCGCAACCAAGGACTTCTTTTGAAACAACTACCAGTGAAATCGGCTCATAGGCTCATAATGTCCCGGAGCCTCATACTATTTCACGGCCCTCAACCCAAACTCCCAGGCCTCTATTACACCGGCAGGCCTAAATATCGTGAAAATATAAATACGAGCCACGTTAAGTTCATTCTTGAGCCTTGTATACTGAACAGAGAACGATTTCCAACACTGACTCAAGAAACGTCCAACCCTAAACCTTCAACCCAAAACCAGTAACCCTAAACCCTTAAACCCAAACCCGAAGCCCTAAACCCTAAATGCATCAACAAGAGTTGCAGGTTAAGGGCTTAAGGGGCTTAAGGGCTTATAGCAACAGGAAATCTAGAAGAGGCTCCTACTTATAGGTGAACAGCCTTTGATGCCTGCATAGCTGGAACTCTCAAGGGAGTGCAAAACCCTAGGCCTGAAGCACTCAGGATTTTGGGTTGTGGGCTTTGGGGTTAAGGGTTAGGGCATTGGGATTTAAGGTTTCAGTGTGTAGGGTTAAGGCTTTGGGGTTCAGGGCTTTGGGGTTTAGGGCTTTGGGGTTTAGGTCTTGGGGTTCAGGTTTTAGGAGGGTTACAGATGGCTTAAAGGGTAAGGTTAAGGAAGGTGGGGCATGGGAAATGAGCCCGAACATAATGGCCTTTAACCCAACGAGTGTTAAGGACACCTTTTGAACCCTCTGAAGGTGACGTGTGAACAGCGGCTGTTTGGGTGCTCGAACCAACTAGGGGCATATTTCTCCTTGTAACATACTATACGCGAAAGAAAATACGATTGTACAGCAGGTTGGTGATCTCGTACCCCGATCTCGTACCCCCAAGTAATCGTACCACATAGCCACAACAACATAGTCCCAGTTACCAGCCTGTTTTCCACTTGATTTTCCATATGATTGTCCATTTGATTCGCCATTCCGTCACTAAAATATCACTCACCTCAAATCCGTCCGAAGCCGTAAACACTTGACCCTAAACCCTAAGCCATGCGATGTGGTGAGTTTAGCAAAGTTTTTGCTGCCGCTTTGCATACCATGGCAGGTAGGAATGCGTCGACGGACTCTAGCAAGTACTGGCACAAGGTATTCTGTAAATATTGACCCTTATATGTTTTGATCGTTTAGCGCTCAAGGTCATTTATATCCCTCCATATCCCTGTAGCACTCCGTAGATCCTACAAACCCAAATTATTCTGTGAACGAAGATGAGCAAGAACATTCACCAGGGCCGGAAGCTCAGGACCTTTCAAAACGGAAGATTGGCCAGGATGTTGTCACGGGGAACAAGCTGTTGATGAGTACGAGGGTCCATTCCTTCATTCTGTGCCCTATGCCCTAAACCCTAAAACCTAAACCTCTGCAAGGTTTTGGCTTCTGAAACTCATCGCGCGGGCCCCTGGTTTAGGAGCCGCACCTTTACACTGTGGCTGTGACCCTTTCAAATTGATCGAATTCCGCCACGTTTCGCGGAAGCGCTTGAAACTTGAAACACACCCCAAAAAAATCACATGGAATCGCATCGAAGCCACATCATGGATGGATAGTAAGCTTTGTAGGGTCTTTTCAGGTTCCATGTTAGCTGAGGGAATGCTCTCCAAAGCCGGCACCCTGATAACAAAGCTCTCCAAAATGATAGCCTTTCGGGGCTCTTCCGGTTGAAACCCGTAGCCATTCCTCAGCTACATGATGCTTCTTGGCAAACCCAAGAGGGGGATTGTCAAAATTATGGTCCCTTTTTGGGTCCCTATTATAATACGGGGCCTAATACGGGGCCTAATTTAGGGGACCCCAAAAGGGACTGTAATTTGGACAATCCCCCAAGACTCTAAACGCTGAATCCGGGCACCGCGAAACCGTGAATGCTACACGTCACACTTCGTTCCCAAGGGCTTCCAGTCTGCGTAGCAGAAGCAATGTCCAGAATCCTTCCAGTGTTCATGGTAAGCACTGTTAAGGAAGATCCTGGGTTTTCTGCGTCCAAACGCAAGTAGGGTATCATATGCACTGGGGAATTTGAAGGTTCAGGAGTTTGGGTCCCTCATTGGAATGGTAGGTCGGGGGGCCTTAGGAAAACCCTAAACCCTAAACCCTAAACCGTGGATATAGTGGCTGGGCTTGGAGCGCTCGAGGTGCTTCATCCCTCAAGCGAGTAGTCTTTATGCTACTTAGGGATCCTCACATGATGATGCGACGAACATGGGTTTGGGTTTTAGGGTTTATGGTTTAGGGGTTTAAGGTTTGGGGTCCAGGGTTCAGGGGTTTAGGGTCCAGGGGTTTAGGGGTTTAGGGGTTTAGGGTTCAGGGGTTTAGGGTTCAAGGTGCAGGATTTGGGGGTTAGGGAACATGGAGGAATGACAGATAGAAGCATTCCAGCTCCCCTTAAACAGTGATAGCCTTGAAAGCCTTTCTTCGCAGATCCTACACTCCAACCCCACAGCTTAGCGCTTAGGGCCCTAAACCCTAAATCTTAACCTCTAAACCCTGCCTTTTTTCCCACCCAGAAATTATGATTTAGGGCCCAACGTTCAACCTGGGAGGGTCCCAGCCTAAAGTCTTAAACGCTAAATCTAAAAATTAAGTTTCCATAAATAGGAAGTTTAAGGATTAACCCCGAATCGATATGATCCTTGTTACAACAACGCCCAAAACATTTGTTGAAAACCCCTCGAAATCTTGAAACCCTAAACCCTAAACCCTAAACCCTCTTGCCGCCAGAGCTCCCGCAGGATCGCCCCGAAGTTATAGCCCACGTTGGTACAGCCACTGCGGCAGCTCATCAGACCTACCCAGACCCCTGGGCGGATCTAGAAAGTAGAACCCCCTTAAGGGTTCCTAACAATTACCCAATAGTAGTATAGGGCACCAAATTGGG